AACTCCTTTCCATTCAGGACATCTGAAGCCCATGTACTCAAAGAATTCAAGCAAATTTTCACGCGGACCTTGATACACAATGTGTCCATCGGACAGAAGAATTATGTCATCAAAAAGATCGTAAGTTGCTGGTGCTAGTTGGAGAAGAGAGATAAGGGCATTTCCATTGAGAATGTGATAGATTTTCTTAGTGAGTTCACAATCTGAAAAGTTCTAGCTGCGCCCACGGGTGAAACGCTGCGGCGCTTGGAGGATGGTCCACGGGGGCTGTAGCTCCTGTGCCATATAAAACCAAAGAAGGATTAAATTTGACAGCAACAGAAAACAAAATACATAAACTTTAATACATGAGATAAGCAGCAAGACTTCACCTTCGAACAAAATATATAAAATGAATAACAGAATCCTGATAAATGCTTACTGATCTCCCGCAATTGTGTTTTGAAACCCTAGATTCAATCATGACGCATCTCCTTAGAATGATTAAGGGATGTTAACCGAAATAAAAATTAAACGAAATTATTAATCACTGCTTAATCAAAATAAAAATTGAAATTTTAATTTTTAATTTTATTATACTTAATCAAACGATATAGTTTTGAGAATCGGTTCTTTTGATTAATTCAGTTAAATTAGTTTTTAACCAAACTTTTAAACTATCAATGAAATTTTTAATTTTTTTTTTTAACCGAACATTTATTCACCAAACTAAATTTACCGAATTAATCAAATTAATTGAATTGACCGAACCGAATGCTCACCCCAAAATGTGCCTCTGATTAGAGAGTCAAGTTTTTTAGCATTGAGATCGACAGCCTCGCTTGCTTTGTTGCTTCGCGTTTGAAGAACACAAATAAAGAGGTATCGAAATGTTTATTTATTTACTTTTTAATACTTTTGGTTTAATTATTAAATGCAGTGCTGGAGATTGGTAGAATGGTGAAGATGAAGGAGCAAGTAGTGTCTAGGACTCTGCATCACCTTGACGTTTAAAGCGATTGAGGCTCAAAAGAAGAAATTGTAGAATTTTTGGATTTTGCATTATTATTTTTTTATGAGTTTCGAATTATCATTATTTTTTTTTTTCACATTGAGAAAGGGTATTCGAACTTAAATATATTATCAGATCGTAATGCACTTACTACTAAACTATGCGTTGGTTTGCTCTTTTTCTTTATTTTTGATCGTTGTGGAAATCACGCAGTTATTCTAATCGAAACAAGGGCTAAATTGGCTTGCCATTAAGTTTATTGGTCAAAAGTTTAATTTTGAGTTGACTGAATTTTGGGTTTTTTGTATTATTTTTTTTTTTTCCATTCTTTTTGATTGCCGTAAATTCACGCAGTTACTTTTAAGAGAAACAATGGCTAAATTGGCATTGTGATTAAGTTCTTTTGTTTTATTGGTCAAAAAGGTTAATTTTGGATTAATTGAATTTTGGGTTTTGCATTATTATTGTTTTTCTTTATCTTTAACCGCGTTTATGAAAGGAACATAGTTATTCTAATTGATACAAGTGCTAAATTAGCAATGTTATTAAGATTTGAAATCTATGTGTGGAGCACACGCGGTCAAAAGCAAAATAATTTTAACTTTTTCAGTTCATATGTAACAACGGTCATTGCAAAAGAGTTTTTTTAGTTCATATGTAACAATCATTGCAAAAGAGACTAAGACGTTGTAACCTGAAATCCTCAATTTTCTATCCAAATCACTATCCCTGCAAAACCAAATTGTTAATCAATTATGTTGTAATATTCCAAACCATTTCATTCTTTTTTTCTCCAAAATAGCTTATTTGAATAAACATGAGGTGAGTGGGGAAGGAGAGAGGAGATGGAAAAGTCTCTTCTCAAACATCAGTCTCTTTTTTCTAAACAAACCATATAATACTCACTGCTCTATACTTTCACCCGCGTTGACTAATATACTGTATGGGCTTTTTTTATCCTTCTTTATTAAGTGATGGGTTTTATGTTTATTGGCGAAAAAGTTTAATTTTGAGTTAATTGACATTGAGCATATTCCGTTGTCTTTTCTAACATAATTTGGTGGCTTTGGTATTGGCGCAAGGCCACTTAGTTTGATTTAATGCTAAATGGTAACCAATATGTTGAAATTGAAAGAAGAGTCCTAGGCAAATCCCATTTATTCTTCTTCATGACCTCTCATTGGCTTGGAATTGGAAATGTATACTATAGCCTGGCACAAATGTGGCAGTGCTGGGGAAAGGAGGTTGTCTCCAATTAATATTTATTTGATGTTATTTGGGCTTCTGTAGTTAACTGTGGGCTTTAAGCCTCCACATTGCCACGAAAATAATTTTAAAATCACATTCATTGGAAAATAAAATAAGTTGTCTTCATTGCCAATGTCAACTTAATGCGTGCGCTACATTACTTTTTCCAGCTGGCCGCAAAATGACTTCTTAGAAAATAATTATTTATGCTTGATTTATATTTTGGGAAGAAGAAAAGGAAAATAACTCTTTATGTATTTTGAATTTGGTCATTTATCCAATTTGTCCAGATTTCAATTTTATAATTGTAAATTTACTCTATTAGTTTGCATTTGTCAAATTGCATATAATTTCACAAGATCAACATGCGTTCAATAGTTTTTCTATTCTCAACAGATAAGACATAACTTAGAGAAGTTGATTTGAGCGTTCCAACACAACAGATTAGAAGAAAGTATATATGGAGAGATTTTCAATTTCAATTCGGTTCAAAATAAAAATCACAAATGGATTTTATCTTTATGAATCTGCAAGACTAGCTAAAATCTTCTACCCGAGTTCTTTTCACTCCAAGACACCAATGTGAAGCCTTCAGACTCTACTCACATAGAGTGTTCCCTCATACTTATATCTAGCTGTGAACTTCTATAGTTTCTTGAGGTGGTTAAGAATGATCGTCGAGAACATGATGTTATATTTTCTTGCTCTCTAGATTGTATTTTCTTCAATTTGGATTTGCGGTTGAATGAAAGCTTCATTTATGTTTTAGCAGTTTAAAAGTTGAAATTGTTTTAACCATGGATTTTAGCAAAATCAAAAAAAAAAAAAAAAATCTAATTTCTTTCTTCTGGTGTTGATCGTGTGTAAAGCATGTAGGTGATTCAAATGAAAATATTGGCAATTTCACAATTTTTTACAAACTAATGGAGCAAATTGATTATAGAGTTAAAATTTGGACAAATTAATTATGTGAGCCAAATTTGAAAGGCAAAATGAACTATTTTTTAAAATAAAAATATGTTTCTTAATTATGTCCGATCAATAAGGACATACATAACCCGTTATAATTCGACCTAACATGAGTGGTCCAATCCAACCCAACTCAACCTGGCGGATTTGACGAAATAATGGATTGGGTTGAGAGGGCATCTTTACAATTCACGGGTTGGGTGAAGTCACGAGTTCACTAGATAAGCCGCAGATCGGACCCAACTGATACATAAATTATAAATTATTTAGTTGATTTGATTTGATTTGCAATTTTGAAAATAAATACTAAATTATTTACAAATTTAGTACATATTACCTTTGTTTTTGGAGTATATTGTAGTTAAAATTAAACAAATGATATAATTATGTTAGTAAGTATTTTTAATTTTACAATTCCACTCGGGTTTGGGTGAACCGTCCGAGTTCACTAAGATAGAGCCGCCAGATCGGACCCAACTTGATACATAAATTATAAATTATTTTAGTTTGATTTTGATTTTGATTTGCAATTTGAAAATTAAATAACTAAATTTAATTTAACAAATTTAGTACATCTTACCTTTGTTTTGGAGTATATTTGTAGTGTTAATAATTAAAACAAATGAATATAGATTATGTTACGTAAGTATTTTTTAATTTTTTACAATTCACTGGGTTGGGTTGAGTCACCGAGTTCACTGATAAGCAGCAAGACTCGGACCCACAAAATAAATACTAAATTATTTACAAATTTAGTACATATTACCTTTGTTTTTGGAGTATATTGTAGTTAAAATTAAACAAATGATATAATTATGTTAGTAAGTATTTTTAATTTTTACAATTCACGGGTTGGGTTGAGTCACGAGTTCACTAGATAAGCAGCAGATCGGACCCAACTGATACATAAATTATAAATTATTTAGTTGATTTGATTTGATTTGCAATTTTGAAAATAAATACTAAATTATTTACAAATTTATTACATATTACCTTTGTTTTTGGAGTATATTGTAGTTAAAATTAAACAAATGATATAATTATGTTAGTAAGTATTTTTAATTTTACTAGTCCTCTTTTTTATTAGGAAATTTAATTTTTCATTTTTTTATTATGATTATGATGATAATAATAATGAAAATGTTAAGAAATTTAATTTTAATATTATCATTGAAATATATTTGTATGTTGTAAAAATTATTGTATAATTAAGATTTTAAGTATATTTAATTTTTTTACTAATTTTCTTAAAGAGTTGTATTTTATTTAAAAATAATAATATTATTATCATTTATTTGACCCGCAGATTTACGTTGAATTTGTACCCAATCCAATCCGTCAAGTACTTTAAATCATTCAACCCGACATGTGTGCAGCGCTACAAATCAATATAAGAGTTTGTCTGCTTTTAAAAAGTAATTCAAAAGTTTCTAATTTTTAGTTCTATTTACTGCAGGGTCTTTTTGTTCAAAAGTGCAATTTATTGTCAAATAAAAAGGACTAAAATACCCTTCCAAATTAATTTTTAAAGCTTCATTTTAATCCTTTTACATAACACTTAAAACGAAGAAAATTGCATTTTTTAGACAGAAAGACCATATAATTTACAAAATTAAAATTTAAAGACTTTTGGAGCTAGTTTTTGGGAAATAGTGTGACTTATATATTAATTTGAATATTGTGTCATTTTCTTTTTCAAAAAGAAAACGTGTTTGTGCCAATTCTCATTATTAAATTTGTTGGATGTGGCAGAGACCAGTGTTTCCTAAGTTCTCAACTGAAAACAGCACAGTTAAGAGAGTGCTCCTCACGTACTTCATTCTTCGCATCACCATACACTATCTCCCCTTATTATTATTTTTATTTATTTATTTATACAACACTTTGAGAGAAAGAAAATATACCAATCGTATTGCTACTCTAAACGGAGAAGATGAAGCTGCTCTGTTTCTGTATATTCTTCTTCCTCTTTCAACTGATATTTATATCAGCTACAGTTCTATTGAAACCCGTTGCTGCAATTTTACCAAAGTCTCATACTTCGCCAAAGAATTTACCGTCAGTAGATCTTTTGTCTTCCACCCATTATCTTAAAACATGCCCACAAGCTGAAGGAATCATCCATGACAAGGTGAAAGGATGGTTTCAGAGGGATTATACATTGGCTGCTAGCCTCATTCGCTTACACTTCCATGATTGTGCTGTTAGAGTAAGTACTAATTTGATTACCCAAATGCTTTGATATGTTTTGAATTTTAATTACTCGATATGCACTTTACTTTATGTTAGTACTTAAGTATGTATATGCTAGTTTTCGTACACCATACTAAATTTTATAAATATGTCATTTATAGTCAAAATTAAGAAATGAAGGTGAAATCAAATTCACTTGTCATCTGAACTAACTTTTGAGTTTGATTTGTCTTTTCTGATTCAACATTGGATAATAATTCAGTTACATTTTCTTTTCTCAAAAGCTTAGGAAATAGAAAAGTTCAATAACTTTTAGCAAACCACAATTTGCAATAACATTGCTTGACAGGGATGTGATGCTTCAATTTTGTTGAACCACAAAGGAAGCGAAAGGAGGGCTTTGGGGAGCAAGACACTAAGAGGTTTCCAAGTAATAGATGATATTAAAGCAGAAATAGAGAAACGATGTCCAAAAACTGTCTCGTGTGCAGACATTCTTACTGCTGCTGCTAGAGATGCAACTGTTCTACTTGGAGGTCCATTTTGGGAAGTCCCATTTGGTCGTAAAGACGGAAAAATTTCCTTCGCCAGAGAAGCTGATATGGTTCCTCAGGGCCATGAAAATGTTACTTCTTTGATTGATTTTTTCCAAGAAACAGGCTTGACAATACTTGACTTGGTGGTCCTTTCAGGTTCACACACAATAGGCAGGACCACTTGTCATTCAATCCTGCAGAGGCTGGCTAAGTTTGATCCAACACTTGACAGGAAATATTTAAGAAACTTGACAAGAACATGTAAATGGAGCTCGGACTATGTCAACCTTGATGTCTCAACTCCAAAAATTTTTGATATAGAGTATTACAAGAATCTTGGAAAGAAAATGGGCTTGTTATCAACTGATCAAGCACTCTACTTGGATCCAAGAACTGCACCTTTTGTTTCTGCATTGCAAACTCAGCCTGACCTCTTCTTTAACCAATTTTCTGTGTCTATGGTGAATCTTGGAAACGTTCAAATCCCAACTCCTTTAAATCAGAAAGAGATTAGAATGACTTGCAATTATGTCAATCCTTGAAGGATAGCATACTGTCCATAGCTTCTTTTTTTTTTTTGGCTTGTCAGAAGCTACGTTTCGATTATGTCAATTCTTGTTTTTGTCTGTTCTTTTAATTGTTTTTATAGTCCCTTAATTTGGAATTTGTTTGCAACTAATCCCTTAATGGAAATTGTATGGTGGAGCCGAGATTGTAGGCTAGGTGGACCAAAAAAAAAAAAATCAAAAAAATCAGGGGGACAAAATTAAAAAAAAAAATTTAGGGATAAAGTTAAAAAAAAATTACTATTTATGAGTAATTTCTTTTTTTAAAATTGAATTAAGAGCCATGGGCCACCCTTGACCCCTCCTTCCGCATCCGGCCTTTCGTAGACACAACAGTTTGAAGGACGATTAATATTGTTTGTATCAAGAGACCAGAAATTATTTATTAGACTATGTCTATCATGTAAGCAATTGTCTCACTCAATAATTTAATGCCATATCACTTAAAAATTTCATTAAATCATTAATTAATTACTTGAGGCAATTTTTTTTTTTTAATTCTGAAGGCAATTTATTAGTATTAGGTTATATTCTCTTCCTTCAAAAGTAATTTTATTGTTACCATTTTCTCTCTCTAACTAAACCGGCATGATTATTTTAAGATTCTTTCTTACCATCCACTTAATTTTTTTATTTATATCCATTTTTGTCTTTCAATAGAGAAAACCAAGATTATCATGCTTAAAAAAGAGATGATGTGGCATTAAATTATTGGGTGAGTCTGTTGGTAACATGTGGAATATAGTGTATCTAAGAATTTCTCTCAAGAAACAAAGTGCATGGATAGGGAAAAAAAAGTAAAGTACTTTCAAGTATGAGCTGAATATTATTACTTTAATCATGTAGTACCTTCAACTTTTATTTTGACCTGTCAAATACTTCAATTTATAAAACTACACCTATTAAACACTTCAATTTTTAGAATTATCGTATCCGCTTATGATACGGCTACTCCGTCTCAAACGGTAGGCGGTAAAGAGTTATCAAATCCGTTGATGGCTGTGGATTTGCCAAAAATCCAATCTAAAACTACTAGTAATATACATAAATGATTTCTAAAAGGCGTATAAGATAGCAGTTAAAGATGGGTATATTAATCCCTGGCTAATTATAAAACCTACTTATACATTATCAATCCGTATACTTATAAATTATGGATATTTATAAATATCTCCCAAGTATACTCCAGGAACTTAGCTTCCTCTGATAGTAAAGAGACATAGGTAAAATGGTGGATATCCTTTAAAAACTCCACTAACAAATTATAAATCCTCGCATGGATTCTTAAAACCTTATCCAGCCCATCTAAAAACAGTTCAACCCAGCCCATAAATCCATAGTAAAGCCTCAAGAGCAATCTCCAGTAAATCCTCTTCGTTTACCAGTCATAAGGGCAACCATAAAATATCATCATCATGGTGATAATAATAATGATAGTAACAGTAATACTGATATTTCTCCTTCAGTAAAGCAAGTAAAAAAGCTAAAGCAAAGCGAGAAACAAAATAAAGAGAGAAAAGAAAGAAAGGTAAAAAGAAAAGAGAAGAAAAAGAAGGACACCTTATAGTCCTTATCTTATCATTATAAACAGGCAGAAGGAACCTCATTCCTTCAAATTATCATTGTAAAAGTTTAAGTGGCAGACAGAGTACTGTTAAAGTTACAGGAAGAGTCAACCACTATGCCCACATCAGAAAATTGTAAATTTGTATGTTGATTCTGAAGTAAAATTCATTATTGTTTAAAACTGATCATCATCTTTTATATTCATTTATTCTCATTCAGCGATCATTATCAATATACATATTAATCAAGATATCATTAATATATATGTCAAATAATATACTATTATCAATAGGATTTATAATCATATGTATGATATGTTTATTAATTTATAAATATTAAAATCAACTTAATATCTGAGTCTGAGTAATTAATTAAACGGTCCTTGTATTTATATTGTCCAATTATAGGCAATCCTAAGCCCAAAAGCTTAGTTAGTAAACCCCTCTCCTCTCTTTCCAACGTCCACTGTAAGGATTCAAGGTTAGAAGGTTAGAGATCTTTAAACTTTTGTAAGTCTAATCTTTAAATTTTTGTATATGTCTTTCAAAATCAAATTTAATCTTTGTAATTAAATAAAGTTTTATATTTTGTTTATAAATTGCTACTTCTTAAAGCCCTGTTAAAGGCTTCATTCTCTTCTCCCTCCTCACTCTGACTTAATTCTGGAGATCCCAGGTTAAGGTTGCAGGAACCCTAAACCATATCAAATTTATTTGTGATTTGTATGTTGTATATAAGTATGCTCTGTGGATGCAACTTAGTCTGATCTTCCACATCAGAAATAAACTATTTGTTTATGTTTGTTCGATTTAAACAGTAACTGTTTGTTCATATTAAAACGATAAACAGTAACTATTTCTTAAAAGGAATCTAAACAGTACTTGTTTAAGTATTGATATATAGGCTGGAAAAAACGGTCCTAGAAGCTTTCTGTTGGGTATCAGAGCCAGAACATTTAACACTGATGGTAAATCTATTATGATAGAGGAAGCCGACTGAAATTACCGTGGAAAAGGTTTTGGGTATGCCTACTCGAACCCTGTTGTAAGTCCTTTTTTTTGACGTTGAATTTTGGGGCAGTGAAGGGTATAAAAAACCAGGCGATAATCCCTACTTGTTGGTATTAGAAACATGGATCTTTTATTGTGTAGATCTGCTAATAGTATTAAATGGGAATGTTTTGAATCTTACAAAAATTCAAAGGATTATTATAGAAATGAATTACATTTTCTAAAAGGATGATTATAAAAGCTTAATAGATGAAAAAATGATTTCTACAGTATTGTTTTCTGATAAAAATTATTTTTTAAGATGTCTACAGTAAATTGTTTTTAACAGTCGCTAAAAAACCGTCAATAATTTTAACTAAAAAGATATTGAAAAAGATTTTATTAAATGAATATCCTAAAAATAAAAAACTTAATTTAAAATGAGGCAGATTATCAAAAACTTAATGTCTTTTGAAGAAATTAATTAAAATCTGAATATTTAGACTATAAACTAAATAGGCAAAATGAAATAAAATTCTTTGATTGGTATAACTTAATTAAAGAAAATCAATCTGATAAAAGTGTAAATCCAGTAACATGTCTAGCATCACAATTGATTTGTAAAAATGATCACACACAAACATCTACATCTCCTAAAAAACATAAGGAAAAATCAATTAAAAAATCGTATAAAGATTTAAATTGTTATATTTGTGGAAAACACGGTCATACAGCTAAAGTTTGTAAATGCACTAAAAAATCGAAGAAAATTTCGTATAACAAATCAAAAATCATAACTTGTTATCATTGTGGTAAAATCGGACACACAACTAAAAATTTTGTAAAATTTTAATTAAACAAAATAAATTAAGTACTACAGATTTAATTAATGAAAAACCAATTGTAAATAAAAGTGTTAAAGGTAAAGAAACAATAAAAAGTCATCAACTTTCTCAGTCTAGTAAATTTGAATTTGTAAACCAATTAAAACATCAATTAAATAAGCTTGACATACATTCAACAACTACCCAACTAGTAGCTCCTGACACCCCTCAGGCTTCTCCAACTATAAACATTATAGAAGAACATTCTGATTTTGAGTCTGGATCACAAGACGAAAACTCAGAAGATATAAAACAATTTGAGAAGATATAAACAATTTGACATAAAATCCAATAAATCCAATCATAGGGAAATAATAAATTAGAGCACCTGATTTAGGTATAATTAATAAACCGAACACTATCAGTCAATTTTAAATATAATGCTTCAACAATCTAATTGAATGGAACATAGATGGTTTTAAGTGAAATATAAATATTAAGTCTTTTGCAACAAATGACAATGGCTGCAATGCTTAGTAAAACTCAGTCAATAATATCTGATAAAACTATAGCAGAAATCTAATTGCTGGCTTTACCGGTCCAACTTAAAGGATGGTGGGATTATCATCTACTGAAAAAACAAACATGAAGACATTCTAAATTCAATTAAAAAATTGATGAAGATGAGCACCTATATATGATTGAAAATGGGTGGGGGGGGGGGGGGAAAAAAATGTAAACAAGATGCAGTGTCATCTTTAATTCTTACTTTCAATTACAGTTTTATAGGAGATCCATCTCACATAAAAGAATAAAAATGCGGAATTACTAAGTAATCTTAATGTAGAAAATTAGGTGATTTTTCAAGATATAAAACCTCTTTCTCACCCGATTAATGTTAAAGGGAAATTCAAGTCAAGATTTTTGGAAAGAAAATTCTTTTGGCGGATTACCTTATTTTTTGGAGAAAAAGTTAGGAATTTTAGTAAAACAACGCAACATGGTATTGCCTATACCTTATAGGAAATTAGCATATGGTCAATTTAATTAGTTATAATTTATAAGAAAAATTTGTCAAGACTTAAAACTTCAGAGAACTTTAAAATATGAATTGAAAAAGACTAAACAAGAATTAGGAAGTTTTTGTAAACAATTTGATTATGACATAACACCTACACAACAATGTAATGGTCAATGTTCTAAACCTTCAAGCTCTAAAAAACATTATAAGAAGCATTGTAAGTCTAGACCTAGTAAAGATAAATATTATCATAAAGAGAAGCCTAAGCATTATAAATCTAAGAGTAAAAAACCATACAAACCTTTTACTAAAACCTCATATAAGGATTTAACTTGTTATAAATGTGGCAAAAAGGGACATACATCTAAGTTTTGTAAATTTAATAAAAAACTAAATGAATTACAAGGTTGAGGGTTCCTGCAACCTTAGCCTGGGATCCCCAGAACTAAGTCAGATTGTGGAGGGAGAAGAGAAGAAAGCCTTTAACAGGGCTTTAGTAGTAACGGACTTTTCATCAAAGTCCTTTTCATAGGGTAAATCTACTATGTGTTGTTTACGATTCCAAAATGCGTATTTCTAGTAAAATTCCATAGTATATACTTGTTTGATAAACAGTACTTATTTTTAAAGTACGATCTAAACAGTAACTGTTTTTGAAAACAGTATTGATATATATAGGCTGGAAACCCAGAA